AAAAAAAAAAAAAAAAAGAAAAAAAAAGCTCAGTGCATGGCGTTCAAGCTTCAAATCTCTATCTTTGGCATAACGCTTTTCATGAATATAAAGAAAAGTCACAGCCGATCGCAAGCGCCGAGCTGAGAGGTCCAAAAGCTGCAAACTCGGGCTTGGGGATGTTGGTTAAATTGTGGGTTCTCTCTGTGGTTTTGTGTGTGCAACAGCGCTCTCTCTCTCCCACTCACGTCCTCCTCAGCAGTCAAACCAACAGTCTGCAACAACTTCGGCGCTCGCTGCCAATTCTCCTTTTTTTTTTTTTTTTTCCCCTCTCAGTATCTCAGACTCTCAGACAGTTCTTCCTCTAATTCGGCCACAGGAACCGGCTGCTTAACAATATTTGAACCGCAGCAGGTGGAAGCCTGCTTTGGCAAACATGGCTTTTCTCCCTCTAGTCCTGCGGGATGGAGCCCTCCGCTCACGCAGAAACCCAAAACCACCGGCGACAACGAGAAAAATTAAAAAAAAAAAAATTAAAAAGCGAAAAATAAAAACCACTAAAACCCAGTCAGCGAAATCGCTACTTTTGACCGGCTGAAATCTTTTCCTTCCGCGAAACGAGGAGGCGGCGGCAGAGGCGGAAAGCAGCGGGCGCGATCAAACCCCCAAAGTTGGCAGCCGGGTTTAGAGAGGAGCTCCAGCCGGGTTTAGAGATCAGCTCCCAGCCGGGTTTAGAGATCAAGATCAGCTCCAGCCGGGTTTAGAGATCAGCTCCCAGCCGGGTTTAGAGGAGCTTCAGCCGGGTTTAGAGATCAGTTCCAGCCGCGTTTAGAGAGGAGCTCCAGCCGGGTTTAGAGATCAGTTCCAGCCGGGTTTAGAGATCAGTTCCAGCCGGGTTTAGAGATCAAGATCAGTTCCAGCCGGGTTTAGAGATCAGTTCCAGCCGGGTTTAGAGGAGCTCCAGCCGGGTTTAGAGATCAGCTCCAGCCTCGGCTCAGCCCGAGCGCGTTCCCACGGCGGGGAGCTGGAGCTTCCCGTGGGGGAGCAGAATTCCTGGCGGGATGCGCGGCGGGAGCGCGCCCGGCCGGCGGCCGCCGGGCTGGCTGGAGGTGGCCGGGAGCGAGTCGGGGCGGCGGAGGCGTGCGGAGGAATGTCATTCCCCCGGTGCTTTGCATACGGGGAGGGCACCGGCCAATCACGGCCCTACCGGGGCGCGGCCGCGGGTCGGGGGCTCCCGGAATCGGAGCGAGGCGAGCGCCGGCTCGGCGGGGACAGCGCACCCCGTGTCCCCCGGGGCTACCCCGCGTCTCCGAGCCCGCCTGGCCGCTGAGGCTCCTGCTGGCCCGTGGCTCACGGAACGCCCGCCCCCGGTGCCCGCAAGGTGCCCGCAGAGCCGCAGACACCGCCCCGCCACATGCACGCTCCTCTCCCGGTGGCCCCCGCTCCTCTCCCGGTGGCCCCCCGCTCCTCCCCGCAGAGCTGCCGGCACTCTCAGCCCCGGGGTTTTTTGGGGGGACACCCGGGGTGGTCCCCGACACGGTCACCGCCAGCCCGGTGTCCCCTTTGGACGGGAGCGCGGCCCCGAGGGGCGCCCGGCGCCGCTGGGTTTGTCGGGGCGGTGGCGGCGCTCGCAGGCAGGGCCATCCCTGCCAGCCCTCCTCCTCCTCCTCCTCCTCCTCCTCCTCCTCCTCCTCCTGCTCTACAAGGCCAGCGCGGGGACAGCAGCGGCGGGGACAGCTCGGGCAGAGCCACGCGGCCACCAGTGGCCACCAGCCGCCGGTGGCTGCGGGCCCGCGGAGCCGGTAGCGAGGACGCTGGGTGGAGGAGGCGTGCCTGTCGGCTCGGGCTGCTGTGGGGTTTTTTT